CAGTACACATAGAACCAAAAGAATCTTTCCGTTCAGCTTGCTGATCCCGAGACAAGGATGTCAATGGTGAAATGACAGCACACTGTGATGCTATCGATGCCGACGACTGGCTGGTCACATTTGCATGTGGAGCAATTACGACAGTCTGACGCGGTTGTATGGGGTAGCGACGACAAGGCGAGCCAATTGGACCGCCAGTGAGCAAGCGTGGATTTGTCGTAAATGGCGGCACCTGAAATAAATATGCAGTCAATACTTGTTGGGCACAGAACACACATTAATATTCAACGAACCTCGGGATGGGGTACTCTTTCAAGAGTGGCGCCTTCGAAAATAGCTGCCGAGTTAGACGTCGATGTAGAAGTGGTACTGGATGATGGAGTGAGCAGGAATTGATCAGATCGCGTTGCAGTCAGTGGGACTCGTGGATGTGAATGAGCCTGAGCCTCCGTAACAAGGCGATCTGGGACACTTGCTAGTTTGTGACGGCCTACATTCAGCTCGTTCTTGGCAGCTCCTACGCCTTCTGGTGGCACCTGCATCCAGGGATGCTCGAGAATTTCTTCAAAAGTGGGACGATCACAGCCTTCTCGAGCAAGGCATTGTCGAATCAAGTCCTTACATTCTGGAATAAAACCAATTTATAAACATTCCTACGGCAACATTTTTAATGCGAGGGAATTGTACCTTCAGAGAGCTGGTTTCTCCATTGTAGATGTCCATTGCAGATCTCTGAGTCTTTACGGAAAGGAATATCTCCACAAACCATATCAAAGAGAAGTATACCGAGAGACCACACCGCAGCTTCAAGGCCATCATAACGCGACTCTTCGATCCACTCCGGAGGACTGTAGACGCGAGTTCCTGAAATGAATATGACATCAGAAGCAGCCCTTTCTGCAAAATGTTTTGCAGGGTTGGTACGGTCACGTGAATGGTTGGGCATTGTTAGTGAGTCATGTGTGACGACGCGTGAAACCGCATGCGCAACTGAGCGAGGTAATAGCAAAGAACCTGGCACGAACTGCACAGAAAAGGAAGCCGCACACTAATTGTTTACCCTTTAGAGCAAATTGATGTCTACTAAAGACGATAGGACTGATCTAGTGACACTTGATGTGAGTAAACTTCTCTCCCATAAACCCAGAGACATCCGAAAATTTTGGACGGCGACAAAAGACGATCGCGGCGAACCGGTCCAAGTCCCTGGTAGTGCCAGGGAAACGCCTACTGACGAACGTCCTTTCATGCGTGATTTGAGCATATCTAACACCTGCGCCAACATGAGTTCAATAAATGCTATCCCCTCTCCTTTTTTTTAATTCAAGCAAGCACTTGGACTGTTAGGACGACAAGGTGCCTCATTTTCTCATAAGAAACCGATGAACGTGAGAAGCTTTCAGCTTAATAGAAACAGAAGCAAGCAATCAGCATAAATGTCCCCTTGTGAAGCTATTGGGAGGCACCAAAGCGCGAAAGGAATGTGACCACGCGATCTGTCTTCCACTATGCAAACTGAAGCTACCGCCGCTCAGCACACAATCTTTGTCTTAAAGAAACCTTCGCTGCAATATCCACCCAGCATAAGAGAATTCAAATCGATGGTTGAGAATCAGAATTCGAACTTATAGGCTGGCCGTCTCCAATGAGCGCATAAATAACTTCGTATGGCGGACTCTACAAGACTTTCGACGAAGAGGAAGCCCCGGTAGCAAAACTGTACCCATTTGGCCCTCCAATTTTATTATTTATGGTGTTTTCCTTAAGTTTTAGATGCAGGGCGAAGACGAAAATATTGAACACTCTTTATGCAGCATAAAGTTGTCAAAAGGACATTTGCGGAACTGGTAATCGCTCGAACCACCCGTAGCAACCACTGCCCGTGTTTCGAGGTCTCCCCCAAGATGTTCCAATGAATCCTGACAACAGAATGGCTGCGGACGCCTGACAGACCTCCCTGGTGTATGCGGTAAACAACCGTGTTGAGGTCAACGGTCAGTTCGTGTAAGGCTGACCCATGTGCGTACTCGATGCCACAACAACGGGACAGAGAGAAGAAACAACAGGTGAAACTCGGAAAATATAACACTTCTACCAAATCGCGAGCCACCAAGTAAAGAGCACTTGAAGTTTGGCACACAGCCAAGACCCATGAAAATAGCCTCCATAAAAACACCTCATTTTGCGACAAGTCACTCCTCACTTTATTCATTCACGGATACTTAGACTGAGCGCAGTGGGCGTAGTACGTCTGTCGACTGTCAATGGTCAACGGCTAATGTCTTTCAGTGCGGGTCAAGAATAAATGTCACGTGCTCCCCTCGCCTCGCACCGTCGAGGTCAATGCACGGGGAGAGGCCACGATTTGGCCGCAAGCCAAAGTTTGCTCTCTCGCGCATCTCCTTCACCAAATACTAGCGCTATTCTCAGCAATGCACTGCTCTGTAGCTGACCAAATGAACACAACTGTGTCATTTGTGCCGCTGAAAACTTCGTCTACTGGACGCTGACGGAGTGTGGGAAGGAAAGGCATCGGCCAAGAGAAGAGACCTTGGTACCAGCCAAGACGCGATCGCTAAATTGATTACTTCAAACGCGGCGATGAGCATTCCAGCGCCAATGACCTCAACTATTTTCAAAGACCATGCCGTGAACTCACATATTGACACTTCGTTGTCAACATGGGAGGAATAAGGTCATAACAGGTGAAATAATGATCAATACCAAGTGATGGACTGGCATTAGGAGGAGAAATTTATCGATTTACTTAGAAGATTACTTAATGATTGACTGGGCTCAAGGAACAAAAGTAAGAAACTGTATATGTACCTTCGAAGTCAGTGTAGGGTCCCTCTTTGCGGAAGGCGCCAGAGCCGAAATCAATTAATTTGACCACACCATTCTTCATGTCTACCACCAGATTCTCATCCTTTATATCGCGATGGATAACATTTACTCGATAGCATGCCAACACAGTATCCACAACCTATAACCACATGCACTTCAATTTTGAAAAGGTTAAATCATTGATAGAACGAGAACAAGGACGAACCTGGCGGAAGTAGTCACGAGCCACGTTCTCTGTAAGGGCACCCCTTTCAGAAATATAGTCGAACAGATCAGTGGATGGGCTGGGTCGTTCCATGACAATCATGTAGCCTTCAGGTCGTTCAAACCAATCAATCGTCTGGATTACTCCAGGGATTCCTCGACACCTCATCAGTAAAACGATTTCAAGCGGTACGACTCGTCCATCCATCTGAAACTTAACGCTTTTCAAAAATACCTGATTTGACAGTTTAGGTGTTTTCAAAAGACACCGGTAATCAGCTGATTTCATGCAACTTTGCGCCGGCACTCACAGAAGCGCGCGCGGGAATCACATGGTGCTTAACGGGGCAAACAGACGAAAACAAAAGACCAACGAGAACTTACACAAGCCCATTCCGTTACGTTTGCTCGCATCACATATTTACAAGCAACCGTAAGGTTGTCAACCATACGAAAGCCGCAATATACAGTACCAAATCCACCTCGGCCTAGCTCTGCACCAAGCTTGTATTGTCGTTTGAAACTAGCATAGTCGTGAGCTAAAATGAAGATTCCTAAGAAATATGACAATAGGGAAGGAAAATCGTCTTGATTGATTCTGTCCTTTCTAATAAAAACAACATGATGTGCTCGACTGTACTCTTGTAAGGTTCCCCCTCCCCTTCTGGTCATCACCCCTAAATGTAAGAAAGTTGAACTTTTTTATGTCAAATTCGCTTCTACACCTAGAAACATCCCCGCTGGATCGTTGCTGCACGAATAAACGACTTCGCTAAAACCTCAGCAAGTAAGGATGGGTAGACAAAACCGGGCGACGTGAATTCCACAACAAAGAGTGTTTAGGTCCAATTGTAAAGCGCACCGGTTTCAGTCGGTTACAACATAATTAATAATGTTCAACAGCGCTATCACTCAACCCTATTGATATCATCGAAATTTGACATGTAAAGCGGAAAGAAGAGCTCTGCAAATAACGTGCCCCAGATTCCTTACCGAGGGTTATAAGGTGCGTGCAGAATCCATTTGATCCCGTGAAAGAAGAGGCCTGTAACTGCTTCAACAACGTACAAGTCACGACTTTAGCGTAACCAGCTTTGAACGCGTTAAATTGCTGTATAACTGGGAAATACAAAAAACAAGATGCAACAGATACTCAGCGACCGGTCACACTTGGATGGAATTACTCGTTACTATTGGAAGACCCAGGTTGTAAATCTTACTAGAACTAACTTATAATACATAAGAGAGACACTATAGCTTTCTGGGCCACCTGTAGAGGCGTTCGCGCTAAATCGAGCACATCACGTGCCTAGAGGCCTGCATTCCAAAACAGAACGAATTCTTTGGGAAAAGCAGGAAGGAAGACGCTCACTGTGACCTCAAGTGCGTCTCGCTCTAATTAAAAGAGCCAGGCAGACTGTTGATCACATGCACGTACAAGAGTTCAAAATCAATCATGACGAACTAGTAGTAGTGAGTTTGACTTATTACGAACCTGGTCGGTCTGTCGTCACTGGACCTCCTATAGCCATCTTTCGAAGACGGCTCATAAACATAGAGATTTCTTATACAGCGATCACACACTTTTGTAAATTCCTAGTGGAAACACGGTGTGATAGACCAGAAATAGTTTATCTGCAAAGCGGAGGATAAATAATAGTTGAGAGGTCGGTAAACGACTACAAAGCGAATAATTTATGTACGCAATCCAATACAAAAATGTTAAGTGTTTCCTCAGAGAATTTCGGAAGATCAAACGAAAAGAAAGGAAAAGTATCAGAAACAAATCGATAGGTTAGCTTAGCCGTGTCCTTAAAAGGTTCTAATTAGGTGACATTAGGATAACCGTACCCACCGCGTACAGGGCTACGCACTTATCGCGGAATGAACGCAGGCAGTGGGTGGAGCCGTCACGTCATCCACGCCGGCTCCGCCTACCGCCACACCCGAAAGTCGCTACTAATCATCAAATACTGTGCAATTCCATGAAATCACACAAGGAATGACGAGAAAAGTGGGGAGAAAGAGGAACGGAGGAACGAGAGCATTGCAAAGGGGAAGCTGGTGAGAAGCGCGGCAGTGACGACGACGGAGTCGGCAGCTGCACAGCGGCGAAATAACGTGTAATAGACAGGCCGCGGCGGGATGTCGTGGGTGGGGTTTGGCACGTGGCCAACGCCATGTGAGGTCGAGAGAGAACGATGCGCGGGAGAGTACGCGACGACGAGACGAACGAGAGCAGTCGTGATTGGCCGATGCAGCTAGACGCCCACAGACGCGAGCGTTCCGACGTTTGGAAAAACGCGCGGTAATCGCCGGCTGTCTGCAAAAGCCGCTGGAACGCCCGAGATGACACGGATTTTCCCCGAACTCGTCCGTCCCTCGAATGTCCTATGGACAAGGGGCTATGTCCGGGACCATGGCCAAGAGCTGCACGACCTCAGTGTATCGAGGCATGGGCTGTGACCCCAGAGCTGGAGGAGACGAGTTGGTTCAAGCGTTTATGGACGAGATAGCTATGCCTAAAAGCCCCGAGTGCCTTCAGGGGGATCATATGGTAATCAGTAGGTAGGGGCAGGTGATGCGCAAAGCTTAGCACATAGAGGTTCCCGTCGATGGCGTAGCTGCAGGTTGCCGCCCTTTCTCACGTGGTGAACCTCCTAGTTTCTCCGTGATCGCGATTGCTTTGGTTCCGGTATCGGTTGTTCGGCGCTCTCGTTCTCCTAATTTCTTTCACAAAACGTTTGTAGAAGAATCTTGGAAATGGAAGGTTTTGACCATCAGAGTCTAGCCCCAGGAGTCCAGCTGCCTTTCAACTCGTTTTGGTCCAGAAATATACTGGAAGTTCTGGGTGGCCCGTACGGATGCGACCACAGTTTTTTTTGAAAGGTCTATATTGAAGCCAAGGCACGCCCTTCCGTTCGGAAAGGTTCAGCAAAATACGATCACCCCTTCTATGGTACGTCCCCCTACCACCCCTCCTCATCCCCATGCTATTACCATCTTTCCCGCTTTCCCCAACCTACCACTCTTCACGGAAGGTTTCCCGAATATTCCGAAAATTTCATCACTTTTCTTCCAGCAAACTGCCGTACGCAGAGGGAGGGTGCATATGAGCTCACTTGAAACACTGATCATCAGTAGAAGCCATCAACCAATATTCTCAAAACCTTTTACGACCCCCTCCTTTCAGCGACCGAATACGCCCCCTTCCGTTGGAGAACCCCTGCGTACGACGTGCCCTGATTGAAGTACAAATGAGTTGGTAAATACTTATAATGAGAACTGAAGTCCATAGGTGCCAAGGAGTTCCTGGCTGGAATGCTGTAGAGCAACAACCTAGAAAACATAGTTTCATGGAAGCTACGGAGCGCAAGAGCAATCTTGCGGGATCATCGTACAACTTCATTCTCTGGCTTCGATCTTTGCAAGTACATGGAAGACGGACAGCACGCGAATAACAGTGAAGGTGACGTCATCGAAATTTTTCCTGTGAAACCTGAACGCTTTCACCAGGCTAATGAAGGCTAATCAGTGGGGTAAGGTTCTATTATAGGTTTACATGCAGGAACAGGAACATTAGCATTGACTGATAAACACGAACCACTCAATCAAAATTTCTTAAAGCAAACATTCATTTGTTAATGGGAAAACTATTGCAACATGCCAAACTAGCTCAGGCGTGAGTGACGGAGGAGAGCGACTGTTTGTGCGGGAACACGGAGTGGGATGGGGGAAATCACATGAGACGCGCGAATCAGCTGATTAAATAGGCGAGAATCGCATCTCGAACACAAGTTGTCCAGAGATCGCGACGTTCGCTTCGGGGCCCTTATAATGATTGTTCCTATGTGAAAGCAGTTAGCCGGATTATGTTGAGAGGTTTCAGTTAGCAAGCACGAACTTTGTTCTCGCTTAATCGAATGAAGTTTTCATTGAATGGCTTTTCCTGCGGCTTATCACAAAGACGCTTCATTAAAGATTTATTCAGGGTCAGATGACCTTCAGAAGAATGCCGTTTTCCTATGAATCTTTCTATTATGTACTCTGGAAAGAGCTTTGAAATGTTGCTGAACACGGATCGAGTTACGGATGAGAGTAGTTAAATCTATGGGATTGCGAACCGCCCAATAGAGAGCGCAACACGTGACCACAAGGTGTCCTATGGATGCCTCGTCCTCTAAAAGAGAGCACGTCCTGCGTTGGTGAATCTGCTGCGGGGGTCGTATTTGGCCGACGTGGGGAGGAGGTCGTATATGGTCTGAGAGATTTTTTTGTTAGATGATTTTTCCTGTTTCGTGGGCAAGACTCACAAATTGGGAGTACTCAGTGGGAGAGAGGTCGTACTTGATTGTCGTTGGGAGAGGGTCGTTCCCGCTTAAAAAGAAGAATCTCCACTGTTGAAAAAATTCCGTTGTTGGCTTTTTGCGGTTTTTCCCGTTTCACCGGTGCTATATGTATACCTTCCAACCCTCACTGGGCGGCGATATCTCATCTTCAGCGAAAATTGAAAAAAGACTCAGACGTTGCTGGGAAATTTTGGTGAAAAAGAGTAGGTAGTTGGCAAGAGAAACAAGATGGCAGGTAGGGAAGGGAGGTGGGGGCTGGCGTATTCATTCTCTAGAAATTTCCCCAGTGGCAGTAAGATTTCCCCTGCCCTGCTAAGAACTGGTTTGAGGGTTTTCCTATCACGATCTAGAAGTTCTAGAGCTCTCAAAAGGTCTGCATCGCCTCATGAAACTTCTGCTGTTGACTGTTAGCTTCGTCCCGTCTACCATTCATTTTTCGATACAACCAATTGTCGCGATGAACCTTACCATTTAATTTTCGACCAGATTAGTTCGAGTGGATCACACCGCTGCTTTCTTCGAATGTGATGGTGTGGGTGCGCGTGAGCGAGAGAGAGGAGACAGCTGTGAAAAGTCGCACACTCCCCGTCTCACTATTGTTTCGTTCCAAGTCGAGAAACATAAAAATGTCATACCGAGAATTGGCCGTCTTGGCCGACAACGGTTGCAAAACTGCGCAGACCAAAGAAGTAAAGGGAGTGAATTCATCCAGCCAGCACATGCAGCTGACTGGCACCCGACAGCGACCTTCTTTGTTCATTTATCAGTTTATCAGATTCTATTTTAAGAGGTAATACAAAGGGACAAAGCGACAAAAGTCGCGGAGCAGATAAGCCCTGCTTGCACTCATTTTTCACCGACAGAGTGTTGCCGAGCCGAAGCAGCCGGTTCCGGGGAGCAGCAGCACGCCCTCGAGAACGTTGCCTATTCGGTTTGTCCCTTTCGCTGACCCTCCGATAAAACACGCTCTATTTAGTTGTTCGTATGTACTACCCTTTTAGTGTGGAGATCACTATCTTTTGTGAGAGCGCGATGAGAGTCAAAGAATGGCTGCAGGATCGTTGAGTGGAATTAGACTCGAAATAGACTTTTCCGAGTGGTCACTGGCCCCAGCGGCTCAGCAAATGAGAAGCCGATCGACTTTGGGGCAGTCGTTCCGTAGCAATAGATGAGCTCATACCCAGGATTGAATGATTGTCCTGATGGATTCGCCCCTCGCTAGACCATTGAGACCATTTGAAGGTGGCTGAAAGTGCCGATGGAACGCTTATAAGTTCACAGAGAATTATTACACGATCGTGGTCTTCAGATTAAACAGCAATTTCTAGAGTACATTCACTTCGGAACACACGTGCATCACATATGGCGATGCGAGATGGCGCTCAGGCATTGAACTGTGTTTANCGAACCCTGCCAATAATTCGGAATGCCGGAAGCTGCTGGCCAAGACGTTCGATTAGCAGGGTCCTCTTTCGGGTATAGTCGTGTGTTTCGGCTGAGATCGCAAGTCACCGCGACAGCTAGGCATTCCCGAACTCTGTCATACACCGGCTTACGAACTGGTACGAACGTCGGCGATCGTGTCCTTTTCCTGGCGCTTCCTCTTCGTGTCCGCTGAAAACCATCAGCAATAGATCGTTTCGGAGAGGCTATTTGAGGTCACATTTCATAGCGATTATCTGTACACCACCTTTTTGCCGAGGCATATCCGTCTCCACCACGGAATGAAACTGTTGCGCTCAGCAGCGTCCAGTAGGGAACACAACTGCACTCATTCCAGATAGCAGTCCCTGCCTTTATTAAAAACCCATAACTTTTCGGACCTTGTCTTCTGCTGTAAAGTGTGACACATGGTGCCCCCACCCCTCCTTGAAGACAATTCACGTATTCAAGTGGTCCGTGAAATGGTTCTGTGCATTTGGCACCCAGGAACGCACTGATAGAGAATGTACCACTTCACTTCAAACGCGAGATAAAGAAGCTTGAGATGCGTGAATATTGCAACCATTGCAACCACGATCACTTTTGATTCTGCAAGACCACGGCTTACAAGCTGAATTGCGTGCGTGCATAGCGTTGCCTGGAGCGTCGTTTGGCGATCTTCCGTGCTCTGGAAGGGAATTGGTTGCACCTCGAATCCTGCCGAATAGGCTTGTCCAACGTTCAAGGCACCGACCACATTGCTAATGGGTCTCTTTTCAGAGTGT